TTTTTGGAGTATAAATAAAAAAATAATTTAATTTAAATACAATACGTGTTGTGCGTGTACTTGGCGCCTGTTTTTACCTTTTTTTAAAAAGTCGGAATTACACGAGATGCATGAAAAGTTATAGACTACGTTTTTGCTAATATTTAGAAGAATGTCTTTATATGTAATATTCACGTGTAAATTTTTACATGTGAATATTACATATAAAGACATAATCGGAATTACACGAGATGCATGAAAAGTTATAGACTACATTTTTGCTAATATTTAGAGGAATGTCTTTATATGTAATATTCACGTGTAAAAATTTACACGTGAAGTATAATATAAGTAAAATATATATGTATATACAGGGTGTCCGACAATTACTTTAAAATCTCTCGTAGGCAGGTAGAAAGAGTAAACCTGAGTCAAAAAGTCCTAAACCATTTTTGTCTATTACATATAATAAAGGAGTAATTATTGAATAAATCAAGCCAATCAGCGCTGATCTTTAGCCGAACGCATGTCAGTGAACCGCGGGCCTAATGTGCGTGAGCGCTCCGCGCGGATTACTCACGTGCGCCCGACTAAAGATCGATGCTGATTGGCTTGATTTATTCAATAATTACTCCTTTATTATATGTAATAGACAAAAATGGTTAAGGACTTTTTGATCGCGAGAAGTTGCTCGAATGCGTGATGTCCGAAGGCGTTAGCGAGAATCTGCCCGAAAGCGTTGGCGGGGCCGATCTTTATTCTCTCACTCTCGCAGGCACCAATGTACGAGCTCGTGAGCAAACAATACGGATCACTGATTTTAATCTTTGATGCAGTGCTGTCTTCTTCTTAGCGAGCAGCAGTTACTTCGTGGACAAAAACAAAGAGCCTCAAAAATTTTTTCTGTAACAAAAGAAGCCATTGCGCTTCAATTGATTGTCTCAAACATCTTCATTTTGGTTCCGATAGCCCAGAAATTTTTTGTAAATATTATTAATTGATCTATTAGATTTTCAGTTGCTCAACGAGCTTTCTGCT